AAAAGATTAAGGTTGGCTAATGCAAGTGGTTTAAGTTGATTTGGGGTTTAGGTTCAAACTAGGTTTTGGGCCAAAAGTTGGACTTGAGCTTGGTTTGAGCTTGGCTTAAAAATTGTTTAAAGGGTCCAAATGATCCATGAGGATGTCATGAAGAGTTTAGAAAGTTAATTTGGGGAATTTGAATTAACAATAAGGTTCAATTTGATGGAATTTTGAAGTTAGGTCAATTTTGGGGAAATTGGTTTGAGCTTGGATTTGGGCTAGACTAGAGGCTAGGTTAAGGCCAATTGAGGGTATAAATTGATCTGGGGGAATGTCATGAAGAGTTTAGAATCAAAAATTGGAGAAATTGGATAAGCTAAGGGGTTTAATTTGATGGGATTTTGGCTTATGGTCAAATTGGAGGTTAAAATTGGGCTTGGTATTTGGGTGTTTAAAATTGGGTTTAATTGGGCTTAAATTTGGTTCAAAATTGGCTTAAACATGATGAAATTGATTTTAGATTTGAAATTTGGGAAATTTGAAAATAATTTGGTGAAAATTGAGGATGATTTAGAGACCTTAGGAATTTACGGGTAAATTTTGAATTTGGGTCTAAATTGGTCAATTTGGTCAAATTGGGTCCAATGGATGGTTTGGATTGGTTTTGAGAGTGGTTAGAATGATTTTGGAGATTTTGGAGATTTTGGAAATTTTTGGGCCATGAGGGGCACTTTGGTAATTTTAGCAATTTTAGGGGTATTTTGGGCATTTTAAAATTTTTGAGGTGTTTTGGGCAATTTTGGTGATTTGAAATGGTTTAAGATGATTTTTGGGTAAAATTGGGTAATTTAGGCAGATTTAGAAAGATTAAGGTTTCAGGGTTGGAAAAGTTTGGGGCTAAAAGGCCAAAATTAGACAATTGGATGGAATTGGGGTTCAATGGGAATGTTAATCGCAAAATTACCTTTATGGTGTCATGAGACCAAGGGAACCCCTATTTTGGATCCTTCATGTGTTGGTCTTAGTTAAACCCTAGCATAAAGCTAAGGGTTTGGGGGATCATCCACATGAGTTTCCAAAAGAGTAAGGAATCAAGCTAAGCATGTTTGGCCAAAGGTTTTAGGATGTGCTGACCAAGACCACACCACCCAGGGCTAACCCTAAGGAAAAACAGTTCTATGGGGACTCTTCTTGAGCTCTCGCATATTGGCTCCACCTATTCAGTGCTAGAGAACAGAACCAACATGTGGAACTTCAAAATGAGCAAAGAAGACTTTTGGAATTTCCAATGGTGAGGGTTCCCTTACTAGTCTCTAGGAATATTCAACAGAAAAGTCCTATGGCTAGATCCTAGGATTCTAAAGAAGAAAGACTAGACCTCAACAAAAAATGAGATTAACAGTAATCTAGAGGTGAGAGACTAGGATCGACTCAGCATTACTACACGAGCTGGTGAAAAACTCTAAATTAGTCGATGTTCTTTGCTAACGTCGGGAGGGAGTAAAGAATATGAATGCTCATATTTGTCACAATACATCATCATATTTTTAGTCATTCAAATCCTACATAAATTAATATCTCATTGCAAGGGGAAAGGAAAGATCTTACTCGTTAGAATTACTTTTATTAAACTGTTAATCATAGTTGTTTCCATCTATTTTAATTTAGTCTTAACTAATGCGATCATTTTGTTTTTATTTAATCTGCAATTTAGATAGAATTTGCTTTTGAGGTTTGCAAGCCATTTAAAAGAGTCCTAGTGCTAAGTTGTGATCATGTCCATAGGTCGCAAAAGAAAAAGTCAAGATCTAACTGAGCTATGGACCACGTAGGTCATAGGGGTGAGTTGTGATGACAACCATAAGCCGCAATGGCCGAAGTTTGGTACCACATAAGTTATGGACCACATAGGTCATAGTTGATCATGTAGGTTGTAGTGGTGAGTTGTGATGACATTACAGACCGCAAGGACATAGATTGTACAGACCGGAGTCGAGAGATCCACGAGCCGTTAACCACATAGATTGTAGTTTGTCACGAAGGATGTATTGGTAAGCCATGATCACGCCTGCAGGCTACTGATGTCGAAGTCGAGAGTTGAGAGCTATACGAGTTGTGGACCACATAGACTGTAGTGGTAGCCTGTGATGACATGCATAGGCTGCAGGAGCCAGAGTTGAAAGTTATATGAGATATGAACGTAGGTCCTAGTTGGTCAAATAGATCATAGTGATGGGTTGTAGAAATCTGGAGAAAGTCACCATCTTCTAGATGCATTATTGCATTGTCTCTGAGAGATGTTGTGTTGTATGGGGGATGCATTGTTACACCATCATCGGGGTGTATCTTGCATATTATTCGAGGTACATTATTATATTATTTTTTAGAGATATCATTGCACCGTATGTAAGTTGTGTTGTTCTATAGGATGTCTCATTACTCTACAATGTACATTGAAACTTTGCAATGCACATCGTGATTTCATAAGTGGATTCATTGCAACGAGTCAGGGGTGGCTGATGGCGGTGATGATGTTCGGTGAGCAGAGTTCGACAATGTTCGACAACTGCATGAGGGGAGGTATTCGCTGGATCTGCGATGCAAAAGCAATGTTGGACTCCAACTCCTCTTCCAAACTTCAGTCTTCTTCAGGCTTAAGGTCTCCCTCCGCCTATTCAAGAGCAGGGTAGGGTCTATTTAAAGTTTGGGAGTAAGCTCTGTGCAAATAAGAAATGAATTCAAACCACCAACAGATAACCTATAAATATTCGCTCAATCAGATAGCAATCGATTAGCATTTGAGTGCTAATGATGTCAGAATTTAGAAATCTTGTGTTTATTGAATTCTTCTCGTCGACACGCTCAATTAGACTATAAGCTTGTCAGATTTGAAATATGTTTAAACTTCTAAATATATACTAGAAGTTTCCAAATGTAATTTAAGAGTTTGATTCGACTAATTTTCGTACCGTTAAGTCCATTCCGTCGAGCTAGTCAGTTTGATTGTATGTTTTTTAAAATCAATGTTCTTATTGATTTTTAATCAAAATTTAAATATTTATTACTAAAAAAAAGTTATATCGAGATTCATGACATGCTACGAGATGCATGTCAACTGATTAATATGTTGATGGCATATTAATAATAATTTAGTAGTTATCACTATGATTATAAAAAAAACAAATCATTCATGAACAAATCGTGTTCAATGCTTTTGTTAAGAAAATGAGTTGCTCAAACAAATTTTTTAAGCTTGATTTATAAACAAACCAAACAAGAACAAACTCTTATTTTAGCTTGAGTAAATTTAATGATAAATAAATAATGCATAAAAATTAAAATAATGATATTAAAAAGTTTGTTTATTAAAATATAAAAAAGAAAATTTAGATGTTATAAGTGGGTGGCATCCATGTAAATGCCCCTCTATATTTTAAAAAATAAATGTTAGATGTTATATATGAAAATACATAGAATTGGGTGGTTGGTATGTGAATGCCCCATAAGCCTACTCAATTGAAAACAATGACACTATATAGACCCGCTGCTTCATTGAGGACCTAAGAAGTTACCTATGTAAGAAAATGCAAATTTGGTGGTATGTACGTAAATGCACCTAAAATTCTGATTTTACCGCTGGCCTGTCCCATGCGTATGCTAAAAGTCTCGCATGGGGACTGAGTGCCGTTCCATTATCCCCTATAGATGCGAAAATTACACTTCACAAATTCAAATTTTAAACTTCACGCAATCACCCTTTTAAGATACCATGAAGCAGATAAAATGTATTAAAATAAATAATTAATTTAAAAAAATTTAGTTTGAGCTGAAATTTGCATTGAAATTCGAGCCAAATACGAACTTAAGTCGAACAAACAGGTTTTAAATAAGCCGAACATAAACATATTATTCATGAGCCGAACACATTATTCATGATCCGAACTCGAACATATTATTCAAAAACTGAACATGAAGAAGCCTTGGACTCACTCATACTAGGATCATTCATACCCCGAGTCATCACAGCAATTAGTTGATTATAAACCTCAAGTAAGTCTTCGCTATAATTAAATGATTCATTTGGATTAAGAAATTTTAATAATATCTTCTTTAATCTTCATTATATTTAACTCAATTGAGTTTATTTTTTTTTTCTTTTCTATTTTTTTTATAAACATTACCATCAGTGTATCTTATACTGCCATATTTATAGTATTTTATATCCTCTTCCTTTCTGGTCACCGAAATCAATGTAAACCTCAATTTTTACATTATTTAAAATAGAATTAGGGTTATTTTTACTTGAGAACTATTTATATGTTTTCATTCTCTGATTTTAGGCCTATTGGTTTGGTTTATATATTTGAAGATTATGTTCTCTGATTTTTCTGCCGTTGAATCATCTTTCTTTTACAAGAATGTGTTTGTAGTTTATTCAAGAATAGGTGGTGAATCACTCTTGGCAGCTGTGCCTCACTGAAGTCATCATTTCATGATTCTCTCTACCATTTTTAGTCTGGATAAAAACCAAATTTCTTCTATCCCCTTCCAAACTCCATTGACTGTGCATACTCTCATGTCCTTGTTATTACTAAATCCGAACTTAAACACCTACGAATCATAAAATGGAGTCAATCAAATACATTAAGAAATTTTTTTAAGTTCGGAGAGAAGTTGAAGTTGAATCTTGTGTGCTCGTGTGTGTGTGCTGTGCTTCATCTTGTTATGTTTGTTCTTCATCTTGTTAAGTTTGTTTTACTAATAAAAAATTGATTTGATTTTCATATATTGTAATTAAGTCTAGAAATCTACAAAACTGTGGGAATACTTCTGAACCTTTTTGTTTTCCGCAGACTGAAATACTCGAATTAAAGGGAGTAGAAGTTACAGGAAGTTGTGCTGACAACTTCATGAAACATTATTCCAACACACATCCCAAAGAATATGTCCAATAAACATGAAATGACTTGAGAAACTTCAATGTCAGATTTGATAAAGTAATTCATATGATAAAAGCTTGAGAAAGAACTACAAAGAACCCCATGTCCGATCCCAAAAATTACAGAAAAGTAAAACAGAAGAAATGTTGTTATTCCCAAATGTTAGTAGTATAAGGCATATGCACAGAAATAATACATTTTACGAATTTATAAAAGCAAGTCCAGCGAAAAAAATTGGAAGAAAATTGGCAGTTTCAGTTGGGAATACCTTCAAGTAGATCTAGAGTCCAAGAACAAAACGAGAACAGCCAACATCACTGGTTTTATTTCCTTAGAAACTTTGTCATGACGTTTCCTAACAAAAATAAAAAATTTAAAAAAAATCAAAATAGATGATAGATGAGATGGCTTTCATAAAACTAGTGAGGTTATTTGCATCAATGTTCAATCATCTACACCGATGAGAATAAACACATTAAATATTACATATAATACATATTTGGTTAATTGTTCTTATGATGATAAATAATTCTAAACAGGTTTTGTGTTATTCAAAGCCTTGGATATTAATTAACAATAAAGTCCTCATGTTTTATATCTAAAAATCTAATATCTAAAGTCTATTATTTTTTGGCAAGGGTTCAAACATTAGACTCCCACTATAGAGATTAAAGATTATTGCACACAAACGAGTGGGAAGAAACTGCTCACTAACAAGGATCGATGCTTACTAGCAGCCTCCCTTGCTGTTATTATTTAAAAGATGGAGCATTTACATACAAACCAACCAAATCCTATGCATTTATAAGTCTAACACCCAAAGTTTAATTTTTACATTTATACCCCCCAAATCTTTCATATTACATCAAAAATATCACAATTTTAACTTATATGAAGTGAAATAGACCTTCTTATGTATAGTTATGGTGGTGTGTACGTAAAAATTGAAATTTAGGTTTTTAATATTTAAATACATGGGAATTGAGTTGTATGTATGTAAATCTTTCTTAAAGAATTAATCAAGGTCATTTTCTGCTCCAAGGCTAATTGCATAAGCAAATAAAACATATATATTTACATGCGGACCAGAAAAGAATAAGAGGCTTGGTTGTGAGTTGAGTCTAAAAATGGGAAACTATGTGAAATTTATAATTATAATGACGACACTTTTTTATTGTGCTCCGAATATATTTGTTTAAATTCGGCCAAAGATAAAATAATACAATTCCTAACAAAAGCTAATTCAAAAGAACTAAAAGTATAAGTTTGTCTTGGCTTGCAAAACATACTCAAAGGTCATAAAACAATAGTCTAAATAATCTTGTATGGTATGATACAATGCTTGTTATTGTCTCATTGCCTCCACCTAGTTTTTGGAGCATCTCACCTCAACCCATTTATAAATAAGATCGAGTGTCACTTACCAGCTACTTCCTCAAATTCTACTTCTTTTACTTTGTCGGCAGCAGCATTGTACTCAAACCTGCACGTTAACAGGAAAATAGTTACATACCATACATAAAATTTCCATGCAAAATTCTTTTATCAACAGATGTTTCTACATTTTTTATTTCATTTCATAGCGTTCACATAGAACCTAGCCAAAAGTAATTATTTTTGCAGAAACAACCCATAGGTTATAAATTGAATGTTGCCAGAACGCAAGATCTCAGAAGGAAATAGGGCAAATGCCTTGAACCAAATGCAATTTAGTGTGCATCGTTTTTACCACTCATATAATGCAAAATTTGGTACATGAATCAAAATGTATGCAAACAAAAGCTCACGTTTCAAATTCGAAGTATACAATCTCCTCTCCCTGAGCACTTCACCCAATCAGAATATTTCAAGTATATTCGTACATAGCACTAGTCAGCAGCGAATCCACACAATTCAGCTAAGCAATTCGGCATATACAATTCGGCATAATCATTCAACTAGATCCAATTGTTTCAATTTAGCAGAATATTAAATCTTGGTTCAGCCTGTTTGTCGAGCAATTTCATTGTCTCGTTCAACAAGTTCGTACAGCAAGCTAATTCAGCAAGGCTAAGTAATTTCATCAGCTCATTAAACAGCCTAAAAGCTTTATCTTATACGACACAGTATACGAACAGTATACAAACCGACATAATTCTCTATTCTCTCAATGTGTTTAGCTTCTTTTGTGTGGATCTATGTAATCAATTCTGAGTGTAGCTAACCCAAATCTATAGATAGAGGAGGCTATCCATGAGACTGCAGGCACAACATGCTATCAAATATCTCCTTCGATCTCAATACCAATCTTATGTTACCTAAAGCTCCAATGCTCTCTTAAAATAAGGTGCCTTTAGTCTAAAGAATAACTGCAAATATATATCTCCTTTTTCTAATCTGAGGCGAATAATTATTTGAGTCATCAATTAATTGGCCCAACAAACTAGTAAACTTAGTCATGAAATCTGGCATTATAACTCCCACTGTGCTCTGTATCACCCCGATTTGATTGAAACTCTATTTCATTTGCCACATCATCAAATTGAAAATTAATAATGTCTCAATACTCGCAATTAAAATATAAATACAATAATTTAACATAATGCATGTAACAAAGGGTAAAAAAATAATTATAAGCTACATAAATTTCTATCACTCATCTATTGATCATTTCTATAACTCTGAATACAAATCAACATCCAAAACTTTTGCTCTAATACCAATAAAATAACTGTCACGACTCGACCCAATACAACCCTTTACATTAAGGTGAATCATATTGTGCTAAGGTCACAACAAATGATTAATTACCTAAAATCTATTTGAAAAAAAAAATTATTTGTTCTCATTATTCACAAACACAAATATTTCTATGTTATCAAATAATAAAATAATATAAATGCCGATGAAGTTTTATTCACATCACAATAAAATATAATAAAAAGGAGCATACACAGCAATCATGATATAATATATTCCCTTGGTAAATTATTGGGATCATCATTACTATATAAAAAAAATGGACCTAAACAAGCAAAATAGTTAAAATCAGAATCCCAAGAGAAAAGAATAATTTATACTCAACATAAGTCTCACCCCTCGTCGACATAACACATATAAATAAAAAAGTGATAAGTAACAACAGCTTAGTAAGTTACTCGAAATCTACTATAATTTTTACACACAAAAAAGAAAATAAATAGATAATTCTCAGAATAATGTCATATAAACAGTAAGATTTGTTTTAAACTAAAGTAGCATATCAATATGTCACATGCTATGTCTATCAAATATACTATAGATATAAAAATTTTTGTAAATGATAGGCATGTGTCAAAATTTATAATATAAGTAATTATTTCAATATAATAATAGAAATAAAATAACATAATAAGAAAGAATAATTTATTACTTTATTTTAATATTTCACAATTTTAATCTGTCATTTATATATCCAATTTCACTTATACCTTCACATGATTATATTTCCTATTTGTCCATTATACCTCAACTTACTCATATATGTTCAAGCATATCAAACACACACACACACACACACACACACAGATATATATATATATATATATATATATATATATAAGTGCACATGTCATGTCATTATTATTCTACTTGAATGCATATTAAATATGGTCATCCAAACACCTACACTTCCTCCACTTTTTTCCCTTCTTTCACATAAATGCATAAATATAAAAATATGACAATGACAACACATGAAGATTATCAAACATGTTGCAAAAATTTGTAAAGATTTGTATATATAACAATAGAATTTGTGAAAAGAATTAAGGTACACATCTTACTACTTATAATACACAAAATTTGTTTACATGTGTTATTCAAGGTAATATTTTTAAACTTCTATTATTCTATATTAAATTTTATTAAGTTTAATATACTCGCTAAAATTACATAATATGTTATAAACACAAAATAGAATGTGAAATACTAATTTTGTTTGTGTTAATATGACAGGTAAATTAATTAGTTAATATTTGGATAGAATCTTGGAATAAAGGTACTTGCACAGATATATTAATGAAATAAGTTGATACTATGGTTCATAGGAAGATAAATATCATATGTATTCAAGAAACAAAATGGGTTTTAGAAAAGGCTAAGAAGATTGATAGTTTTAGGTTTTATACTTTGGTATTCAGGAAGGAGTCACACTAAAATGATGTAGGTGTAAATATAGATAATAGTTTAAAAGAAAATGTTGTAAAAATTAATAGAATTTGAGATAGAATTACAACCTTAAGATTGTTGTTGATACTAAGTTTTTTAATGTTATAAGTATTCATGCTACCCAAATAGGTTTAGATATAAGTTCTAAGGAAAAATTATGGAATAGACTAAAAAAAATATTACAAATGACACCTCTTGAAAAAGAAATTTTTATTGGAGAAGATTTAAATTGACGTGTTAGTAGAGTGGTAAAAGATTTTAGAATATTAATGGTGTCTATGATTTTAGTGTGATCAATGAAAAAGGTAAAGTTATTTTAGATTTTGCTTTACCATATGATTTTATTGTTGCTAACACTTTATTTAATAAAAAATATGAGCATATTATTACATATAAGAATGAATCTAATCAAACACAAATTGATTATTTTCTTATGAAAAGAAGAGATCATCGAGAATATAAATATTATAAGGTCATTCCAAGTGAGAATTTAAGTACTTTATCTCGATTATTAGCTCTAGATTTTAAAATAAAGAGTTATAAGATAAAGAATACTATGAATACTTATCATGGAATTAAACAAATAAAAATTATTTTTAGAGTAAACTTCAAGATTTCAAATTTTGGGATGTTCATGTAAAAGCAAATTATATGTAATATAACGTAATAAACACTATTAAGCAAGTGACAAAAAATTTATTTGAAAAATCAAACAAAACAAAAATTTCATAAATAAAAATTGTTGGGGGTGGAATAATAATGTGCAAGAAAAAAATATATAAAAATTTGTGTTATAAAAATTGGTTTACATGTAAAAGCTTAGAGAATAAGAAAAAATATAAGGTAGTCAGTAGTGAGTCTAAGAGAATAATTTGTAATGCTAAAAATTTTATTTTTAGTGATCTTTAAAGAGAGTGAAAAATATATATATAAACTAGTCAAACAAAAAGAAAAAAAATTAAAGAATTAACTCAAGTAAACGGCATTAAAGATAAAAATCAAAAAATATTTTCTCGGAGGAAGACATTCAATATAGGTGGGTGAAATATTTTGATAAAGTTTTCAACAAAATTTCTAAAAAATACGATCGCTCTTAGTGATCTTAAAATCATTAACAATAATAAAATATTTTATATTTACTGTCGCATTAGAAAAAAATAAGTTGATGAGGCTTTAAGAAAAATCAAAGGTGAAAAATCAGTAGGACCTGACAATATCAAGTGTGAAATATTTAGGAGATTTCGGAGTTTTTCGGCTTACAAACTCTTTTTAATATTATTTTAAAAACTAAAAAGATGCCTGAAAAGTGAAGGAAGGGTAGAAGGAAGGGTATTTTAATCAAGGAAGGGTATTTTAATCTCCATTTATAATAAAATATTTTATTTTTACTATCGCATTAGAAAAAAATAAGTTGATAAGGCTTTAAAAAAAATCAAAGGTGAAAAATCAGTAGGACCTGATAATATCAAGTGTGAAAATATTTAGGAGATTTCGGAATTTTTCGGCTTACAAAACTCTTTTTAATATTATTTTAAAAACTAAAAAGATGCCTGAAAAGTGAAGGAAGGGTATTTTAATCCCCATTTTTAAGAAAAAAGGGGCCTGCACAAGGGGAAATTAAGTTGATGTGTCATACTTTAAAAATATGGGAGAGGTTAATTGAACATAGGTTAAGTGTTACAAAAATTTCTTATAATCAATTTGGTTTTATGTGGTACAGGTCTACTATGGAAGCTACATATTTATTGAGAGATTTGATGGATAAATACAGAGAGAATAAGGATGATCTACATATGATTTTAATTGATTTTGAAAAAGCATACAATAAAGTTCCAAGAGTACTTTGGAGAGTTCTAGAGAAGAAAGGTGTTCATATGACTTACATTCAAGTCATTAAAGATATGTATATTAGAGTCGTTACTTGTGTTCGAATAGAAGGAGCAGTTGAATCACATGAGGGATCAACTTTAAGCCCATATCATTTTGCTTTAGTTATGGATGCTCTTACTTGACCTTTACAGGAGAGTATACCTTGGTGTATGCATTCTGCTGATGATATCCTCATTGTGGATAAGACCAAAGAAATACTAAAGGAAAAACTTGAATTACAGAGGTTTAGTTTGAAATCTAACGGCCTTCTTTTGAGTACACTAAAACTAAATATATGTAATATAATTTTAGAAGTAGTAGTAGCTCTAGTGGCGAAGTTGTAACTAAGGGTAATCAAATCATTAAATGGAGTGAACGTTTTAGATACTTAGGGTCTATTGTTCAAAGTGATGATATAGATGGGGATGTTATTAGTAGAATTCAAGTTTGTTGGTTGAAGTGGAGGAATGCAACGGGTATATTGTTTGATAGAAAAGTATCACTTAGATTGAAATGAAAATTTTACAAGATGATGGTGAGACCTGTAATGCTCTATGGCGCAGAATGTTGGCCTTTAAATAAGAAATCTAAAATAAAGTTAAGTGTTGTTGAGATAAGAATGCCTACGTGGATGAGTGACATGACACTTAGAGACAAAATATGAAATGAATATATTCGTGATAGGGTTGGTGTAGCTCCAGTGGCGAACAAGAATAAAGAGAGTCGTCTTAGATTGGTTGTTTATGAGACTATATGTTTTAGATTCGACTTATGTAAAGAATGACAGAGGTAGACCTAAAAAGATTTGAGTATATTGTATAAAAAATAATCTTAATTTATTAGAATTAAATGAAAATATAACACTTAATAGGACGCAAAAGGAGAAAAAGAATTCATGTAGTTGACCCCACTTAGTGGGATAAAGGCTTGTTGTTGTTGTGTTAATATGATCATTACAGTCTCATATCAAAATATACATAGTAAAAATTTTATAAATCTCCATAGATTTAAATTTATTCAAAATCCAACCTAAAAAAATACTAAAATTTCATAAAAAATAATAATAATAAAATCCAAAGAAGAGTGATAATAGCATGACTTAAGTAGGACAATATTTTCAACTATCTCAACATATGAAACAGCTCTAAATCTCTGAAATACAATTTTTCGCTCTGCCTCTCTCATTTTCTCTTCCTAACTTGCTTACAATTTAAAGAAAGCAAAGAAGTGAATTCTGGAATGGGATTAATGCATATATGAGATTTTAGAGAAAAGGATAAAATAAGGATACATTTGTAGATAAATGAATAGCTATATTTTTTAAATATGAACTCCATATAAATCCTCTTAAATCTTAAATTGTAAGACTCTAAAAATTATATAAAAATAGCCAAGAAAAAATATATCATGTCTAAAACACAGCGGTAAAAATAATTCATAAACAAACACCTGGTGGTTAAGAAAACTCACTTTTACTAAAAAATGTACTAATTTCTTTGGAAAAATAAATCCAATAAAAAACATCTTATCTTCATACCTTAAATAATTATAAAAATAGATACAAACATATTTAAGGAATAGTCCGAAGTGCTCTACAACATGATGAAAATAATTTATAAATCAGACATACGATACATTTAGAAATTTTAATTGAATGAAGGTAATGATAAAATGCACTACAAATTAAAATCATAAAATATTGATGAATAAACCAGAAATTAAATCAATGATAAATCTCATAAAAAATTAGCAAATATAAGATAAAACATGCAAATTTTATCAGACCCCAAATCAGGTTATTATAGATGGACCCAAATAGTATAGTAGTCCTCACAGGCAATGAGGTTGTCAGTAGTTGAGTAGCATGCAAATTAACGTCACGTGGGGATAGATGGGAGATGCCACTAGGCAAATGCGAGAGAAAAAAAGATGAAGGTGTCAATTGGGGAATAGATGGCGATAGGCTTAGTTGTTTAACAGAGTGTGAGAGGCAGAGAGCTAATGAAGTCAAGTGTTGATTGTGAGGATAGCGTACTACACAGACAAGGGCATGCAAAGTAAAGCAATATGAGCTACAAGCATAAGACTAGGGTTGGACCTTAGAGGGAGAAGCATGGAGACGAAAAGGGTGCATGATTGTTGCAACTATAGAGATTTTTTGTTTTCATTCTCTCTCTTATTTTATCACCGAAGCAATAGACGATAAAAAGGTGACCTAATGCAATGATTATGTATGAAAGAGAAAACAGTTGGATTTGATGGCACAAGGTTCAGATTTTTTTAATTTATTTATTGGTTTTTTTTAATAAGAAAATAATTAAAATATAATAAAGTGCGGAATAAATATGTAAATCAATTCATGGGAATTATCATTTTACGTGTGGTCATCTTGCAAATAGAAAATTTTGTGGTCATCTTGCAAATGGAAAATTTTGTGCTTCATTAGCTCTCTGACTAACACATTTTCAATGGTCACTCTCCTGACTAACACCTGTACAGAATTACAGGTAAAAAATCTAGTTTCTTATAATAGAATAGAAACTCACACAGCTCAAAACACACATTGAAAAAACAAATTGCTATTGGAAGTAACTTCAGGCAACAACATGAACATACATTTTATGGTAATAAAATGCAACGTAGCTCAGAGAAAACACAAAGCAACATGAGTACTGAATCAATTCACCTGTTTGAGCGAAAAACCTTAAATTCATACTCAGATTTAGTCTTAGTGGCTTCGAGTAACACATTGACGATTTCTATTTTTCGAGTGCTCGCCATAAGACAGTCGTACTCACTTGGGATGACAATTGCAAAAAAGTTATCATTCAGCTCACTCATGCGTAACTTATCAACAGCTGCAAGTGCTATCCTTCTTTTCATTACATCAGAATCAGGATCAATGATGTAGACAGCTGAGTCTGTAATTAATAGAATACGACGTTTCATCTTTCCAGTTCTTGTGAATCTCAAAACTTTGTCAGCAAATAAAACCTTTCCATCACCTGCAAAAGGGAGCACATGTTTACAGGCAGTGGAAGGGGAAAAGAAAAATATTTCCTTTCAATTCAAAAAGCGCCAAAAGAACCTACAAAACAGCCAGTGGGCAACAGTTTTCTAGCACTATCACTTTCTATCTTTTGCACAACAACAGGAAACCATCCCTAATCAAGAAAAAAGGTAAATTCAAGTTAACTACATCCCAATTAAGGACAATGTAAAAGCAAGAACGACAATGTGCCAGTGTTAGGGATGTGATGGACGAGCAAAGTTTGTCATGTTCACCTAAAATGGATCACCATTTAAAGAAAAAACCATGTTTTCCGGCCTTTTATACACCACTTCCCATTGTAAATTGAGTTAATTTCAAAAAACAACAAGACCTCTCTTTTAAACATTAAAAATACTGATAGTATAAATAAATTGTCGATGCCTTATAAAGAAAATATAAGGATAAAGATAATCATACGGTATGCAATTGCTTGAAAATGATGATCATAGATGGGCTATCCCTATAAAGAAACTACCGTATTCAACAGCTTGAAAATAAATAAGCATTCAGCATTCTCTCTTTTAATCATTATAAGAATTAAAAATGGAAGTATAAATTGGATGATAATGCCCTATAAGGATAATATTGGGATAAATTTGAGACCCATATTATATTCAATAACTTGAAAATGAAGGTTATGGATAGTATAAAAATAAAATCAACGTTATTTATGGCGACTTGAATGCATGCCTAGTCTCTCAGGTGAGGGAAGTCATACCAGCACACAAACTCTCAAGCAAGAGCAATTACTGTGATGTGCCTGGTAAGCCTTGTCCCTAAGGCATCAAGTAGCGAGAGGAGTGTTTTGACTTGATTTGAGTGATGCTGCTAATACATTAAATATTAATGATGAACATATTTTCGTAGTACAAAGTTAAGATGGATAATGATCACAAGTTGGAAAAACAAGGATTAACCATTAAAAGAAAAAAAAACTGAATGTAGGCACAGGAATTTATATTGTAGGTTAATAAATATGAAAGACGTAGAGTACAAATCTAAGAAAGCAAAAAAGTAGAGGGATACAAATTCGTTTATAAAAAAGAGAGTGTCCATATGATGAGAAGGTGGAATATATATATGTCGGCCGTTAAAATTAATCCTCTTCTTTTGAAAAATATAAAATGTAGTTTTGGTTTAATTTAATAGATATATATATATATGTTTAATTTAATAGATATATATATATATATATATATATATATATTGAATTTTTTTAAAATAATATTTTAATTTTGAAAAATGAGACTGGATGTATCTCATTCATTTAATAGTTTAAGTAATCGAGCATAACACCGCAAGCAATGTACCTATCATAAGGAATAAACACATTACTTGGTAGTGAAGCTTGATTAAATAAACTAATGAATTCATGATATCCGTTTTGGTCTGCGAACATTTTATTTTGATCGACAAGTTCCTCTACAAATATGAAAGCTCTCTATAGAGGCAAGTCCCTGTAGTTAATTACATCTCAATTGACTGAAAACGCTTAAGAGAACTCTCGATGATGATCAGAGGTATCTATCTTCATGAATTCAAATTTTAGGGTTTCCAAGATTGAACATAGAAAAGTCAAGTGGGAAAAGAACCAAATAGAAACATTTATTTCTGGAATCAAGGAAAAGTAAAGTAGGGGGTGTCACGGATCCTGAGAGGAACATCGGTAACTTCCAAAACTATCATATTACTTGGCTTCCATTTTGAGAAGATGTTATTTGTTGTTTCATCCTGCTAATTTTATTATTTAGACATTAATTTACGTGACACAGTCATACAATTGGTCTGGAAGATAAGAGGGTTTACGTCGTATCGGATGACGACCTCGGAACCTAAAGCATGTTAGGGCTCAGATTGCACAACTTCGTTGTGCAAAGGCCTAAAAGATATGGTGAGGATTTATGTTGCGCTAGGCAGACAACCTCGAAGTTCTATGGCTTGTTATTTAAACTAAAGAAAGGTTTAGCTGATGTACATATATTTGCTCTCTCAAAGTTTATTTGTACATCCTTGTCGTGTTGTCCACTGTGTTAGCTCCGAGCTCCACGTCATAGCAGTTTCAGGCTTAATGTTTCATGTCTTATCTATATAATTTTTTTTTAAATTTCAATCAATATTAATTCAATCAATTTAAGGGTATGTATTTAAGTTTTATAGTGATCCACCCTAGGTAAACTGACTATTGCTCTATATCTTAAAGGTCTTGCAATTAATTTAAAATATAGACAAACTATGTTATAAGGAAATACAGTAAAGGAAAACAATGTAAAAAGCAGTAAAGAAAAATAGTAAAATGTGAAGTAAAGAAAAACCAGTAAAAGGTGTAGTAAAGAAAAGCAGTAGTAAGAAAAGACAGTAAAGAAGAACAATAGAATGTGCAGTACAGACGGTAAAATGCTATAAAAATAAAATAAAAAAGTGTACCTGACGGTTTTGTTGTTCCTGTAAATGGGATTAATGTTGTAGGTAAAAATAAACAAGTATTGTAGAAAATGTAACTAGCAAGGCAAACATGCATTTATGTATAAAATAACAAGTGGTAATGCATCTCATAAAATAAAAATAAAACTCGAAGAAAACTGAAAGTGACCCACAAAAATCGAAAAAAATCATAGAAAACACAGAGAAAACCCGAAGAAAATAACAAGTGAACTATAAAAAAAAGTCAAAGTAGACTATAAGAATTCAGGTTTAGGGTGAGCTCAGATTTTAGCATTCCTAAAGAACTCTGAAGGCAACCGTCGGTCATCCGTGTGTATAAAGCCCGACATTCAACTAGAGATTTCCAACAAGACAATCTTAGGAGAGCAATTTTTAGCCCAGTACAGATAATTGATAAGTAGACAATCGGATTGCATTACTTAAAGTTTATATTTTGTTATTCATATAGGCATCATGCATATAAGCAAAATGGGTATCTATTTTAGTACTCAAAAAAATTTTGTAAGTAATGTATATGTTCTTACCGTTCTATTTTAAAGTTTAATTGTCCACGAGTCGATTACACTGTCGGACTAGGACTGCCAGAGCCTAAGAAAGCAAGGGTCCTCGCTACTCTACTGCCGGTGAATAATACTATCATCCTACATTTGCACCAGATCCTTGTGTCGAGTCCCAATATCGTAGGATGCAATATTATTCCGCTCTATCAACGGATGTCTTTGTCATCACGACCCTTAAACCCCAAAAAGAACCATCCAACTTATAACATTGTTTGATGGTTTATATATAGCCTAAGTTATATATACGCACTTATGTTTCAGACATAAGCACATAAATCAAACAAAGAAGGAAAGAAAAGAAGAAAAAATGGGGTGAGAGAGAGGAGGGGTCGATCCACCTGAAAGAGCAAAGAAGTGAAGGGTGCATCAGCCCTCAAAACATATTTTTAAGACTTCAAAAGAACACACTAGAAAGCCTTGAAGCAATATATCGGCTACTCCAAATCAGCCCACCAAAATGCCTTAAAATAGTGCCCAAATCAATAAGGAAGTTGAGCAAGGACAGCCCCAAAACCCCACCAAAAGATGAATTTTAAAAGACTCCAAACCGCAGCCAATTCAGCCCAAAAGACGCATTTTTTTAAAGCCCCCAAACTATAGCAAATTCAGCACAAAAAGATGCATTTTTAAAGCCCCTAAACTACAGCAAATTCAGCCCATAATATGCATTTTAGCTCCCAAACTGCAGCAAATTCAGCCCAAAACAGTGCCTAAAGGCTCAAAATCTGTACTTAACCATTCCTTATAGTGTAAAAATAGTCCAGAAAAGGTGCTCAAAATCGTAGACAAGTAAATCACAAGACAGTCCCAAAACCGCATTCAAAATAGCCCTCACAACACTCCAAAACCGTAGCTAGGTAGGCCACCAAAATACCCAAAACCACGGCTCAAAAGGGATACAGAACAGTCCCAAAAGTTTCAAAAACCGCAGCCAAAGCTCATTGCTTAAAGGCTCCCCAAAACTGCATTCAAATCAACCGAAAACAGTACACATATCCCCTCCAAATCGACAAAAGTTCAGCATAAATACAAACAGAAACTCCAACAAATCTAAAAACGATGCTTATAGTCAACCAAATGTAGCATAAATGTCTCCAAACCAATCAAACGTAATATATACGTGTCTCCAACTAGCTATATCGAGCAAAAAAAGGCATAGTTAGATTTCCCAAGTGCATCCATACAAAAATTCAAGCTCAACAATAAAAAGGAACTCTTTATTTTTTTTTACAATATAGACAAGTATATATTTCACTTTCCGTTACAAATATATAGATATATATATATATATATATAGGCGTGTGTATAAATCCTGATTTCCTTTAAATTTACCAATCATGCATAAAGTAATGAAGAAATTGGTTGGTATGTTGTATGCATGTCATGTCCCCCTTTTTGCCAAGTATGAATAAATTGAGTGGTATGTGCATAAATCTTGAGGTAAATGACCACATGGAACATCAAAGTAGTCTCATTTGAACACCCGAACGTAAAATCAGCAAGGGAAAATGTAAAATTCAACATAGTATTTCACCCATAGGCCTTCAATAAGACTTTTCATGAAACAAATATCATATATCAAAGGTCAACTTCTGCTTAAACTAAAATGTCACATATGTATAAAAAGAAAATTGTGTTAGACATGGAAATACAAAAGAATTGTGTAGCATATATATAAACATCCACAAGATGGAAGGGTAAGAATAATGTTTACGTAATTTGGAACACAAGTCATCTCAAGGTTTAATATTAAATTCGAGTTTTATGTATTAGACATGCACATATTTAGAACTTAAGAAGCGTGTATGTAAATGCTGCCTTTTATTTGTATTTGCATTGTTTTGCTTCACATTTATCCAAAGAGGAAAGAAGTCGATGGACTCGATAATTGACCTTGCAACGGCGAAGGGGACTTCAAATGCATTCACATATAAATATCACCTAACTTTCA